GTCACAAAAGTTCTTGAACTTAAAATACCATGTCTAGAGTTCTGATTTCTATAATTACAAATAGCAAAAAGAAGACTCTGAAAATGCCATTTCCAACGATCTAGCGCCAACGATTAACCATGGTAGCGCCTCGTGGGAGTCAGGCCCACCAAGTTTAACAAGCTTCCTACCCCCTGAGTGACCCAGTTGTGGTATTTACGTAAACATACCATGCAAGTACACTTAACTGATCAGATTTGGGATATCAAAGCACATGTGTAACACTGTATATCCAAAAGTCTGTTTCAGAAAATGCCCACATTTCAGTTCTAGGGGTGGAAAAATACAAAACATTTTCTGGGGGGGAATACCCCCAGACCCCCCTACTAGTACATACGATACCACACCAAACGTTTTGTCACCAACAACCATCTGTCATCTCTCCACACTCAGTATAGTATGGTCCCTTTTTGTAGATGCCCTCCCAGACAAGTTCTTAAAAAAAGCCCGTGCTCAAATCATTTCGCTGTATGAAGACAGCCATGGGTTAGGGTTATGGTAGGACAAATGTTGCATTGCAAAGTAGTAACACATAATATATATTTTTTAATCATATATGGTTGAATCATATTCACCAGGGTAAAACATCATGAGCTAGATTAAGGTGGCTCCCTACAGTTTTTGAAATATGACAAAATTGTGATTTATATTTAATTTTTTGAAGAGAGGTTTCTTGTTAGAAGACAAAAATTGTACCACATATATTGAGCAATCTTTGAAGAGTCGAAAATTGTTCACATAAATGACGTCATAACCGTTGCTGTGGTAACAATGACGTTTCAATATGGCTGACATTTTACCTTTTAACACATCTTACTCGAAAAAAGGCCGGTTACCCCCATTTTTTATTTTGTCAAACGTTTTCATTCAGAAAAATGAATGATGTGAACAATTTTAAAAAAATTCTGTAGATCCAAAAAAATATTTATCACGAAAAATCACGTTTTTTAATTTTTTAAAAATTCTGACCTACAGAATTTTTTTAACTTGTTCATATCATTCATTTTTTTAAATGAAAACGTTTCACGAAATAAAAAGTGGGGGTAACCGGCCTTTTTCGATTAAAATGTGTTAAAAGGTAAAATGTCGGCCATTTTGAAACGTCATTGTTACCATAGCAACGGTAATGACGTCACTTTTGTGAACAATTTTCAACTCTTAAAAGATTGCTTAATATATGTGGTACAATTTTTGTCTTCTAACAAGAAACCTCTCTTCAAAAAATTAAATCTAAATCACAATTTTGTCATATTTAGAAAACTGTATTGAGCCACCTTAAACAGATTGTCCTAATATTTAACTTTACCTGCAACGCACACCTTTTTCATTGGTGTTAATTTTCAATCCACATTGGGCGGGGGAAGTCCGAAGTTCTACTTTAATGGGGGGGGGGGACAAAAAGTTTGCCTTCAGTCTGAAGGGGGGGGTCAAAAAAGTTTTCAATTCCTTATTTCCCCCATTTAAATTTCCAACCCGTCCCCATAAATAATGACCACTCCCTAAACAGATATATTGGATTTTCCGTGTGTCTGTACTGTTACAGATCACAAGAGATATGGCATTCTTAAGATTCTTCTCAAGATTCCTTTACACGCCCCATTACGGTTTTTCTTTGGATGTGTCTGTATGTATGTGATCAATTACAGTACAGCACTGGAAAATGCAATAGTTTGTTAATTATCTTACCTTCTTTGTTGCTCCACCTGAACCAAGAGTAACTGACGTAAGTTTTTGCACCAACGACAACTCCTTGAATCTGACATTCATCAGAATACCCAGTGCCACACATAACGGAGTCACTTGAGAGCCGTCTTTCTTTATTTTCGCAATAGCAATCGTTACTAATACATCGAGTACGTCAGGCGCCCTTTCTCTCATTTCTTTTAAAACATCAATCCAGTGAAATGTGTTGATGCTTTTGTGACTTTTCCGGCTCACACGCAGCACAGATGAATTTTCGTTGGATCTTGTGCAAAGCTTTTGGCATTGTACGTTGATATTCTTTAATAAGAGTTCAAACACGCAATTCTTGACTTGCGGTATTGCCATAACGGTTTTTGCCAGATAGGTTGGAGAGCCTTTTATAATTTCATCCATTAATTTCTTTTTCTGGGATGATGTTAATGTCGTTGTTTTTTCATTTTCCTATTATGGACAGAAATTTCATAACGCGTGTTACACAGCAAAGCATTAAATTTGAGTAATTAATATAATATACTTACATGTGAATATATTATGTCTGTATTGTTCTAGCTCTAATTATGTTGAATATTTTTATCTATACCTTAATCCCCAATAGACCGCTTTTTGAGATAATCGCAAGATCTTCGGTAAGAGGTGGTTCTGCAGGGTGGTGTGTGGAGTGGTGTTGCAATGGTGGTTGAACGTCGAAAGTACTCGTTGATGGTGAAGGGACTGCAAATAATCGTTGTCTTGGTTTAGGGGCGATTCTTCTAAAGCCTTCTTCTGAAGACCGAGCAACACGCTTTTCGATCAATGCTTTTTTTGCTGGCTGTCGAGGTGACTGTTCAACCTCTTCTGGATTATTCTTTCGTCCGCGCTTTTCGCGTGTAGATGCAATTTTCTCTCTTTGTTTTTTCTCAGTATCCGTACATTTATTCCTAAACTGGGTCACCCTTTTGGAAAGGTTTGGAATAGAATTAGCGCAGGTGCGACAAATGAAATTAGATAACATGTCCTCTTCCGATACTACGATGCCAGAGAGTTGCTTAATAGCAGCAACTAAGCCTTCATTTAAAGACTTCCTTCCGAACAAGCCTAAACGGCGGTGTGGGTCTGTTACTGAGTTACAACAACGGCATGAATCTATGATATTGTCAGACACTTTTTTCCTCGGAGTTGTTTCTGCCATAACGAATGTGGAATAATAAAACTGCCCTTCCCTTTCGGCTGACTCGGCATGTTAAGTGAAGAAAGTGCGTATGTTATTTTAATGCCAAAGTGTTTGAAAAAAAATCAGTTGCCGCCTGGCTACGTTATAGCCAAGACACACGTACACTTTACTCTTTACCGTTAAAAAAACATACGCAATTTCTTCGCTTAACCGACCTTCAAAGAAAGCGACTTTTCACACAACTGTCTGTATAGATAAGGGACCGGTCATTATTTATGGCGGGGGGTGGCACCGAAGAGAAAATGGTTGGGTAAACTAAATTTTGAGTAAGTAAAAGGTTGGGTAAATGAAAAACAAAACAACTCAAGGGTTGGGTAATAAAAAGTTATAGTCATATGTCAATACAATAAGTGAATCAATCAGTCACTGTCTTGATCATTTTCCAATTTGTTAGAAGACAAATGTGTTTCCAAAGAAAGCACATGTGCAGACAACATGATACATTAGACTGCAGCAAATTTCACAAGCAGTTATCTAACTCCTGTCACAGAAATCGGGTAAAGGACATATGTGACAACTGAATGGTAGTTTAATTTTAGCCAGGGGTGGGTATTTATTTTTTACTTGATATTTGAGGTTGGGTAATCAATTTTTTGACTTTTTAATGGTTGAGTCAGCAAAATTTTTGCCACGAAAAACATTTCTCTTTGGTGCCACCCCCCCACCATATGAATGAATCTTCTAACATTTAAAGAAAATATAAATTATAGATAAATGTCGTGCATAACTCAGTGAGCTTTGGATTTGAATTGCTAGATGTGTGTTTCGCAGTTGAAATCTATATTATGTATACAAAATCAGGTACAGAATTGTACATTTAAACACTTTCCCATGCAAACCAAAACTAATCATGCGTGCGTAAAATTGAGCAAAAAAGCGCAAGGTGTTTGGCCATATGACCACCCACCATGAATGAATGAATGAATGAATCAATGAATGAATGAATGAATGAATGATAGTAATATTTATTCAGGAAACCAACATCACAAGAAGTGTTTTTCAGATGGTTCCTGCAAACATTAAAATACAAAGTATAGAAAATATATAGTGTGAGTGCAGTATTTGAGACTATAGGATACATGATGCTATACATATCACCATGATATGATGCTATCATATTCACCATGTCTATGAATATTGAAAACCGTTTTATATAATACGTTTAAAACTTTATTTCCATGCCGGATAGTCATGAATCCTTCACCGATTACATGTGTCGCAAATGACTTACATATGACAGTCAAAACTATGTGCATGACTGCATGGCCCAATGCTAGCCTCCTCCGCAGGCAACTCGTTGGCAAAAATTGGCCAAAAAGATGTATTATGAATAAAAAAATTGGCAAAAATGTGAATATTGTAGGTTTTGCCAATTTTTGCCAAAGAGTTGCCTGCGGAGGAGGCTGGTCCAATGTATGCTATGGGAAAATTCTTGTTTTCATATTAGAATATAACAATATTTCCTGCATTACAACATATTTTCTACATGCAAGTCTGCCTTATGTGTCGTGATACCAAACCTGACTAAATTTAACGTATTAGGGCTAGCCAGTGCATGGGTGTACCTGAATTCTTACATAATGTCAAGTTATCATTGACCAATTTCACATCAAGGACAGGTAGTTCATTGCCCCCCCCCCCCCACACACACACATTATCCAGAAGTGTCAATAATAATTTCCTAGTATCTATCCAGGTGTCTAATCTAAATATCCTGCATACATATACAAATTTGCAAAGTTTAGGTTTGTCAATAATAATAGTTTATTTATAATTTCAGTTCTTACAAGATATGTGATAAGTCAACAGAATAAGTATTCTATTATGAGCTGTTGACAGGAAACAGTGTAAATTCATGATCTTCACATGATATGGTCTCATCCAATATGACACAAGAATTTGAGACTCCCACCCTATTAAAGGCATACAGGGGGCACTTTCACTTATTTGGTGTGAAGTCCCTGCAATCAGGACAAAATGGCAAGGTCAATTTCCCTGTTCCTGTTATTCCATAGTTAATATGTTACTCCCAGGTATTCAATTGGAATTTTTACATGAAATTCCTTTACTGTTCTGTAAAAGGTTCCAAGCCTTTCCTAGCCGACTGCCTTATTTCAGATTTATATACAGCAGATAAAATAAGTAAACCCCCCACCATGACCTCTCTCATTTCCAGACTTGTACACTTTTCAAAATTATGCGTCTTATATGCTTTTATTCACTGTATTTAAAAACTTTTAACAATTATTCACTTAAAAACTTTAAACAATTATTCACTGATAACACAATTGATTGACAAAATTCAAAAATAGTAAAACACACCTTGTACATACAATATATAGGTTTATACATAGTACAGTACACCCAAGTTATGCTATATGCTTTAGTTCCAAATGGCCATTTATAGGCCAACTGGCCAAGTGACCAAAAGCATAATAAAACATAATATATTACACCATTAAAACTTTTCTATCGTAAATATATTGAATATTTTATATTTACAATTATATTTGAACGCAATGTTTAATAAACAAATTATATTTATAAGTCTTAACAAGAAAATGTTTAATAAATGTAGAAACGTTTTAATAGCTTCATATTTGACCGCGTTTCTTCCATATTGTTGCTTACTTCTACTTCATAATTGTCCATTTTGTTATTTTCCTTCCTTCTGTTTGCAAATTATCTCCATTAATCCATAGAAACCAAGCAGTATACGTTTGTATTTCTTCGTATTTCGAACGCGCACTCCTTGAAGGCAGCCATATTGCCGAATATAAACATCCACTTGATGAATAGACTTTTCATATTTCACTCTATTTTTCCAACGACCAATCAAATCGCTTCTGCTTCGGCTTGTCCCAGGGCTTACGGCAACGCAGGCAGCCGAGAAGCCCTGGGAACGAGGATGAAGCCGAGGCGATTGCATTTGGTTAAAGGCAGCGATGGGTTAGATCATTGTCCGGTAATAGGTTGTGAACATTCAGGATTTGTCAGTCGAAGAGGTTGTCGTAAACATGTTAAAACGAAACATGCCTGGTATTACTATTTTGACTCGACGCCCGACGTGTGCCTTTCGCCGCTTGCAATCACAGAAACGCAGCGAAAATGTTGTAAAACAGTCCCGGGCTGTTCTACAGATAATGACTTTGCTCGATCGTTTTCCAAATGGCTTCAAAGCAGCTGTGGCGGCGGCAAATCTCCTAAACAATCGGACGTGTCAGTTAACCGAGCGTTAAAGTTCATAAAGTTTTGTTGTGACGAGAATGGCGAGGGCGAAGAAGAAGTCCTAAATTCACCTAATCTGATCGATTACGCCTTGGGGTCTCCACAACTATTAACAAAGTTTGTCGACAGTCTCAAAGAGAAGTGGTGTATTGGACAATCAGGACAAATTGCTTATGTGGCAAGTATTTCAGATTTACTTGATTTTCGCAAATTCAATCGTCCCCCTGCAACAGTGCTTGAAAACTTTGCAGTTTTTACCGAAGTGTATGTAAAGAGAGCAGGAAAGTATTTAGCCAAAGACATGAGATCAAATTGGACAACCGAACTAGGTATAGAAACCCTCGAATCCCGTAGAAGTTGGGCAACTCTTTCCGAAGTACAATCTGTAATTCCATTTCATGAGGAACGTTATAAATCTGTATTAGAACATTGTATTATATCACCTTCTACAGTCAAAACAGGAGACGTGACATATGCCACCCGATTCGTTACAGCTTACATGTTCCTCAAAGTGAAAGGTTGCCGCCCAATGACCTATAGATCTAACCTTGCGAATGTTTGAAAGTGCGAAAAGAAACGAAGGAATGGTGGATCAGAAAATATTCAAGACGGCTAAAACGTATGGCTTTGACAGTGTTTACTTTGACGAATGCAGCATGGAGTTATTGGGGAAATATATAGCGTATGTAAGGCCCCTTCTTACACCCACTTGCGACTACGTGTTGGTGAACCGAAATGGTAAACAGTTCCACAAACTTTCAAATCTTTTGAGTGTGTTGGTGTTCGAAGCAATAGACAAGTACATTCATCCAACTAGGTACAGACAGATTATCGAAACAGAAAGTGCGCACGTTCTCCTGCCAAACGAACAGAAATGGATATCTGAAGACCAAAAGCATAGCTCTAACGTGGCCCGTGTACATTATCAGAAGAAAAGATCTCGGGAAGTAGCCATGAGAGGACGTGAGTGCATGCAAAAATTAATTGAGAGAAGCAATAGTTCACAAACAGAAGAGGAAAAGCAACAGCAGTCCTCATCTGTTGTGCAACACACTAACCCTAACCCTAACGTAAATGTTGTCCAACACACGCCCATCATTTCCCCCCAGAAATTACCCAAACGTCGTCGAGGCGGTCGCTTCACATGTGAGGAAGATAATTACATACGCTTGGGCATTGCTCAATTTGGTTTTCGTTGGTCAATGATATTACGCCATCCAGAATATAACTTTAATGCATGTCGTGTGGCAAATACTTTAAGAAAGAGGGCGGAAGCCTTGAAATTAGTGTAATGCTTAAGTGTACACCTTCCATGATTTTTGCTATTATTAGTGTGAATTAAATGGAAGAAATGTTGTAAAAATGAATAGAAAAATGAAGTTACAAATGCATATGTGTGATTGGTTTTCTCAACTGTTGTTATAATAATAATCATGGGAAGGAACACTTCAAAAATCAGTCTACTACATGACTATTATCTTTTTCCTCGTGTGGCATTGAGTTCAAATATGGGAAAGGAAAAATCATTTCAATAATTGTAAACATTCCTTTCATGGGTTATTAATCAATAATCCACACCCAACGCCTAATCTGACCCTAACCTATTTTTCCCAAATACTTTTCTAAACTATTTGAAACAAAATGTTTGGTTCCTTACAACTGTCACAAAGAAATAGGTTAGGGTTAGAGTACGATTTGGGTGAGGGTTATTAATAAATAACCCTCACCCAACGCCTAATCTGACCCTAACCTATTTTTTCCAAACACTTTTCTAAACTAGTTGAAACAAAATGTTTGGTTCGTTACAACCCTGGGAAATAAATAGGTTAGGGTCAGAGTACGGTTTGGGTGAGGGTTATTAGTAAATAACCCTCACCCAACGCCTAATCTGACCCTAACCTATTTTTTCCAAACACTTTTCTAAACTAGTTGAAACAAAATGTTTGGTTCGTTACAACCCTGGGAAATAAATAGGTTAGGGTCAGAGTACGGTTTGGGTGAGGGTTATTAGTAAATAACCCTCACCCAACGCCTAATCTGACCCTAACCTATTTTTTCCAAACACTTTTCTAAACTAGTTGAAACAAAATGTTTGGTTCGTTACAACCCTGGGAAATAAATAGGTTAGGGTCAGAGTACGGTTTGGGTGAGGGTTATTAGTAAATAACCCTCACCCAACGCCTAATCTGACCCTAACCTATTTTTTCCAAACACTTTTCTAAACTAGTTGAAACAAAATGTTTGGTTCGTTACAACCCTGGGAAATAAATAGGTTAGGGTCAGAGTACGGTTTGGGTGAGGGTTATTAGTAAATAACCCTCACCCAACGCCTAATCTGACCCTAACCTATTTTTTCCAAACACTTTTCTAAACTAGTTGAAACAAAATGTTTGGTTCGTTACAACCCTGGGAAATAAATAGGTTAGGGTCAGAGTACGGTTTGGGTGAGGG